AGTATATTTTTAAATACACAGCACAGCGTATTCCGCTTAACGATGATTTGCATACCCTTAATACCCAGCAAAAAACTAGATCCTGGTTCCATATTCCACATTTGATATTAGTAATAGATTCTCTAATGTTTCAGGCCCAAAAGATTTCAACTCATTACTTGTAAGTGCTGTGAGAATTTGAAGTCTTTCAATACAGATTTGAAGCGGTTTTTATGGAATGAATGTTTTTATACTGTGTCTGAATTTGTTTGTAAATAGCTATTTGTTTATCTATTTATTAATTTCATGTATCTATATGTGTTTGTGTTTAATTTATATCTTATATTGATTGCTTTTCTTTGGCGATTCCCATAAACAAGTATGTGCCAAAAGGAAAATAAAATATTCAAACTCAATCTGAAGGCCGCAGCGCGATGAGCCTGACTGCCATCCTAACTGTATCGAACTTGTGCATCCAGAACTGACCGGCATGACCGTTCCTTTATCCGTACAGTGTCAGGATTGTGGAACAGTTTGTCTGAGGAGGCTTTTTCGAGTTCTACTAACCTTTGGCAGTTCCAAAAAAGGATTAACAAAGTGACGTGGTGCCTGGTATTTAGGCTCCCGTCTATGTGGAGATTCGGTATATATAAAAAATGGCGTCAAGCAGATTGACTTTATACTTCCTACGCCTTTTTTGGAGATTCCAAAGAAGAGGGATGCGTTTCAAAAGGAGATTCAAAAGGCGAAATCAAATCGTGATTACGGTACGATGTATTTTCAACCTCTGCTGATCAAACTGTATAAAACATCTATCATATTTCTGTTACCATGGCAGATGGTAACTTCGCCCTTTTTGTACTTTTACTTAGGTGAGAAATAAAGCCCATTTATTATTATTATTATAGATGTAGGAAAAATATGTGTGACTTATGTCTAACAGGTGCATAATATCACTGAAATCAGCAGCTTCTTAATAAAAGAACGTCTTTGAATATGCAACAATTTACAACCATTTACTGCATTCAGCTTCCAAGCTACAATTTCCATCTCCCATCTTCCAAACAATGTGTGAAAATAAGCAGGAATCTTCGGAACGTTATAACACAGCGATTTTATGTCCGCTGCCTCTGAATCAACGACTACCTAAACGACGGAAGTAATGAGCTCACAATACTATTTGAACTTCGGTTCACAAGGTTTATGTTGCTTAAAGATATCTGCATCACACAAGTCAGTGTTTGTCATTTATGTCGGTTTGTCAGTCCGTGTCTATTGTATATCAATGCGTCATATAAACTGAATCAATCTACTTGACTAAATGTTCAGAAGTCCATCATAGGCTGAGTAACACAGATTAAAAGTCATGCGAAATAAGTGGTATACTTTATCTGAAGTCACTTGAAACACTGTGAAATACCGGGTGCGTTTTATATATGTATATCTATATTTAACAATCGCCAAATTTCGCAGCAAATATCGTACCGTATAAGATCAAAGGCAGTTTCACCGGTCCACGTGGAGTAAAGCACGCCTATGCGTGGACATAGCCAATGAGAAAGCGTGTATTTCAGAGCTCCGAACAAGTGCAGGTGGCTACTGAAAATTGAAACTGTTTAGCCAGTGCCGTGTAGCGGTGAATTAACGTGTTTTCTTTAGTCTGTCCGTGTTTTTTCATAGATTTTATTAGTTTGTGTGTTTTTGACTTTTGAATACTCAGTTTACTTGTTGATTTAATTGTTGTGTTGATTGTTATTGTCTGTCCTAAATATGGCTCTTTGGAGACCTTGGGAAAATGCTCCAAGCCACGAGGAGATGGTTGATGAACCTGTGCAGGCAGAATTCTTTCATAAAGATTTAGAGGAACAGACCCAAAGAGCAATCCTAAATATGTATGATTGTCTGAAAAACGAAAATACAGATTCCTCGCAAAATCAAATTTTAAACAGAATTTGTATCCTGACAAAAATCAGTCGGTCTACCATGTATCGGGTTATAAAAAGGGGAGATGTAGTCAACCATTCCTTCCACAGAAAGCGCATAGGGCAAAAATTAAAAAGAATAGACGTGGGTTTTCAGGAAGATATTCGTCGTATAATATACGGATTTTATAAAGAAAATTTGGTGCCCACGTTGGAAATGATACGGGATAAATTAAAAGATTATCCTGAAGATTTTTATAAGTACAAATGCTTAGACTCACTGCACTGTATTGTAAATCTGTGTGGTTTTCAATACAAAAAATTAGATAAAATAATGGTGATTATGGAGTCGTCTCGAATCGTTGAATTGCGCCAAGAATTTTTGCACAAAGTTAAAATCTATAGAGAGCAGAAAAGAAATCTGATTTACCTGGATGAAACGTGGTATGATACCCATGATGTTGTGCAGTACGGCTGGGTTGACGACAGCAACAAGTGCATTTTAAATGCACCATGCAACCGTGGAAAACGAATCATTATTCTCCATGCTGGCAGTGAAAATGGATTTATACCTAATGCCTTGCTGTTATCTGCCAAAAATATCAAAGAATCATGTGCCGACTATCATGAGGACATGACCTCCGACTTATTTGAAAAGTGGATAGAGCAGCAGTTAATACCAAACATTTCCCCAAATTCAGTGATTGTTATGGACAATGCGCCATACCATTCCCGACAGAAAAAGAAAATTCCGAATACAGGCACAAAAAAACAAGACATTATTGATTTTATGAAGGATAAGGGAATGGAAATACCACAAAAATCAACCAAAGCCATATTATTGGATCTTATTAAAAGACAAAAATTTGAAAAAGAGTATGTTGTTGACAATCTGCTTCAGCAAAATGGCCATGAAGTATTACGTCTACCTCCCTATTACTGCATTTTTAACCCGATTGAGTTGGTCTGGGCTGCTTTAAAAAAAAAGTAAGAAAACATAATCAGACCCCTCAATTAAGTGAATCCCTATTGGCCACAATAAGAGATGCAGTATCTTATTGCTGCCACAGACCTATGGAAGCAGTGTTCTAGGCATATTATTGAAAAAGAAAATGAATATTGTGTTTTGCCTCCTGTGAATCCCGTTGTAATTCCTCTACAAGATGACTCTAGCGACAGCTCCGAAGGCAAGAATGATATATAAATACCTATAATGTAAGTCTTTATATACCTTTTTATATACCTACCTGCTATGTAAATATTTGCCTATGTCAAACGTTGGAATTCTGTAATTTTTCCATTTCTTAACTTTCAGTCAACATAAATTAAACTCCCAATATAAGTATTTTTTATCCCAAATCAAAAAATAAGAAGATAGTAAAATCCATTTATTGTGATATAAAAACATTATTATTATCGTTCTAAATAAATGACCGCACGCCTATGATACGTCATGAAATTACAAAGGACCAAAGGTTTTTATGCTATTTCAAGTGACTTCAGATAAAGTATACATTTAAGGCTCATACAAACAATATCCCAGCTTATAGTCTGATAACAAAATTTAAGGCAGCGGCAAATTTGAAAGAAAGTCGCGTCTACCGTTTGTCGGTATGGACAGGAGACCGGCAGTGGCGACACAGGAAATATTTTAAGCTAGGTTCTCACGGGGCAAGAAGACAGCGTGGCACACTTGCGATTTTGCTGTCGTGAATCTCACATGGTTCACAAATCAGTTTCATTTAATTCCTTGGAGCTGACTACGGCGGAACATGTGATTGAAAGTTGTGAGGTTTTGAGAAACCTGGGGGATCACAAAAATTCCCTGAGGATCTTAAAAATTTGCTACGCATGTCTAAAGATGAGTTTGATTTTCTCTTAGAACGTGTTTCTCCTTACATTACGTGGTTATGCCTGGATACCCATTGTCATGTCTACGCCCGAAAATCAAACGTGTTTGAAGTCGGTCGTGGGTAATCGTGGAGCTTTCGCTGTCCCGATGACGTCAGAGGCAAGTTCACGACACCTCGTTTAGGCCGAGGCAATTCCACGTAAGTAAGACTCACGCTAGCGTGCCACGCTTCGTGAGAACGGAGCTTCATAATGGGTTTGACATCCTACTGAAAGTTGATATGTAGTAGAATTTCATGTTTAAAGATTTACAGTAAAGACAGTTCTCACATGTTCTGATGTAACCGTTCGTGCCTGAATTCGCATCGGCGAAATGCGATTGTCCAACGATTAGTGGTTTTGCCTGGTAGTCGTTGATTTTCCATGCTTTTTGGACATTTTCGAGTAACATCTATGTTATAATCACAAAATGTTATGTCATTGAAGGTATGACTAATGAGGTAAGATAAATTTCTTTATGTTTGATATCATATAATTGTCAAACATATGAATCTTAAACAATACATTGTGAAATATGGAAGCAACTTCTCGAACAAAACTCAAATAACGCGAAATTCAGCAAATAGTACGGAAAAACTTTAAACGAAGATGATGATGAGCAATTTATGTTGGAATGTATTGATTATCAACAATGATTTGCTTTACCTGTGTTCTAGTTGTAATAATAAATATTCTTGAAACATAAAAAGTTAATAATCTGGTCAGTCAGGAGATGTAGAAGTATCGTCACTACTTGAGCTTGAATTGAAGGAATCATCACTTTCACAGTCGTCGTTGCTACCGAGGTTGATGATTACTGGCTCTTTTCTATATGGTGATCTAGTTCCCAAAACTTCTCCGATTGCATCTTCCAAGAGAATACGAACGTCAGACATTTTGAATGTCGTATTTTTACGAGCCACCTCTTTTTTGGATCTGAGCCCATATCAGTTCTATTGGATTCAACTCGCAATGATACGGTGGAAGTGTCAATATACCATGAATCAGGGTTTGTGCTCCGCGCAATTTGCAGCAGTTGTGCCTTTAGCATCGTATCACTGCACGTTATGTTTTGAGATACCAGCTAATTATAAATATCAGCTTTTCGCCAATTTAAGTAGGAAGGATTTCTATACTTCTACTGTGGTACGACGCATTGTCCATGACGATAACCGAATCTGTTTCGAGCTTTGATAATATTGATTTGAACTAAGATTCAAAAACTTCGGCATTCATCTCATCGTGGTAGTCACCAGTTTCTCTGGATTCAAATATATTCAACCCTCCATTCACAAAGCCAGATGCACAACCTATATGTGTGACTATCAATCGGCGACCTTTGCCTGAGGGGCATTTCATACCTGTACTCAATCCATCACGATGGGCTTGTCTATGACTTGTCATGTTTAAATCTTGCCAAAACTTGAAAACAGTATTATGCCCTTCATTCAACCACGTTTCATCCAAGAAGTAAATTTGTTGTCTCCCGATCACGCGATTACTACGCATGGTTTTCAAGTATTCCCTACGCCACATAACGATGTCATCTTTCTCTACTAATGCACTGTTCCTTCTTTCGTTTCGAATATCTAATGTTAATTTAGCGCAAGGTTCTCAACAGAATGCGACGAGATATATTGGGAAGGCTTTCGTCTTCATCCAAGTCACGTTGGAGCTTTTTTTAATGTGGAAATTTCGTTTTTCAAATAAAAAGGGTGCACTCTCCGACGAATTACATTTTTCACATCATCATCTAGGACAACTTTCTTACGTCCTCGTTTTTTTATCGGATTTACCCCCTTTTTTGCATTCAGGATTCTATAGATGGTCCTGACTGATACCTTGCTCATATCGCTACAATCTCTCACTGTTTCGTCCATTTTTTATCAGGAAATCGCGAATGAAGTGCATTGTAAACATTTTCCACGATGTTCCTTTCACCAGGACATAACACATGCCGCTGGTTAGTACTACACATTGCATTTAATAATAATAATAATAATAATAATAATCCGGCTTTATTTATACAAAGTATAAAAAGGCGAAGTGTCGCTAAAAAGCGTTTTTCAACTTAACCCAACAAATATTGATGTATATTTTCTAATCCCAATGAAAACAAGAGTTAAAAAAAAACCTGTAACGAGTCCTTATTCATAGCCATGGTCTACTTACTGGGCAATGGAATCAGAGATAAAATTCTTCAATCTTTTTTTGAAATTCTTTATCGAGTAGTGAGTGAACTCGGTAGGCAACGCGTTGTATAGCTTGATAGCAGTATATACGTACGACCTTTTAAATAGAGATGTTGAATGTCTCGGGATAACCAAAATATGCTTATTCTTTGGTTGATAGATATGGAGGGGCTTGCGTTGTGATTACCTTATGGGTCAGGGTCAATACATGCATTTTTTGTAGCTCTTCTATTTTTTGAACACCCAGCTCACGATATTTATGTGACACTGTCTCAGATTTTCTCACTCCACAAGCGAATCTGAGACACGCATTTTGAATAGTCTGAAGTCTCCTTATCTCAATCGATCTTAATGCAGGCCCATAAATACAGTCACAGTAGTGAATTCTAGACCATATTAAGGTTTCGCACAACTTCAGCTTGAGACCAGTATTCATACTTTTCCTATGAGGAAATAATTGCTTCAAGACACCGAATGATGTTCGGCACAGTTGACTAACGTGTTTTTCAAACCTCAAATCAGAATCAATCCAGAGTCCTAAATTCTTGCACTCATTTTTTATAGGGATCGGTTGATCTAAAATGCGCAATGATAGTAATGGTTTTGCCTGACTTTTTTTGATTTTTGGTCCAAATATAACTGCGGATGATTTTAACGGGTTAATTTTCAGATTATGGGCACAAGATACGTTAGATAAATTTATTATATCATTATTAATCAAATGTTCGGCATTTTTTAAATCTTTAATATCGAAGCCAAAGTACAATTGAGTGTCGTCAGCATAGTGATGAATACTGCAGTGTTCAACGTACTCGTGGAAGTCAGAAATGTAAATTGAGAACAATAATGGTCCCAGAATGGAACCCTGTGGTACCCCTAGTTTAACTGGTATCTCCTCCGAGATACTTGACCCAATCACAACCATCTGACACCTGTCAGTGAAATAACTTAATACAAAATTAATTGCAGATTCCGAAAAACCAAAGTATATAAGCTTCTTCACAAGAATAGATGGTTCCAGGGTATCATTTGGTTTAATATTTGAAATAGTAGACAGTATGTGCTCCGCACATGACTACACTAGCTGGAACCTGAATTGCAATAAAATTGAGGCGTATCTTTTGAGTATAGCGCGACGCCAACTACGACGTTGTCAAGCCTATGCTCACTTTCTGCTTTATCGGATTTCTTACCTTTTTCAGACCGAGGCTGAATCTGCCCCAAAATTTTTGATAGACGTAAATAATATCCTGAAAAGTCAATCTCACCTTCCTGATACTCTAAATAGGTCATTGCCATCGTAATTACCCGATTTTTATGAGTATTTGAAAATTCAGAATTTGGAGAAAATCTAACACATGAATCAGATTTTCACATATGACATCCATATTCAAACATTCTTTACTTCTGGACCTACCTGGTGTATATATATTCAATTATTGTCGGTTGAATTGAAGCATTCACGTTTAAAATACGTATTTCCAGCAAGTTGGTTCGCAAAAATTCAGTTCTGGGAATGTATGGATTTGATTTCCGGAATCACAATTTACGAATATCGGTGGAGCTTCAGACCTGATCAAAAACATAGTAGCCGCAGCTAATATATTTTCGATCACGAAGCATCATCAAGGGAATACCTGAATATAATTCGATTTCGCAACATCGTATCCTTCAATTGCTTGGACTGCTCCATGTTGTCAAATCCAATGTTTTTCAATCAAGATTGAGAGAAATCCCTCGTAGCGTGGGTAGGCATGGTATAAGCCAGAAGACAGACCTGTTGAAAATTGTGGTTTTCCCAGGGGATGGAAATATTCGCATCGAATCATAAAGCCTACCTTATCCAATGATACGGATCGCAAAGCCTGACTTCTGATCTTCTTACCGTAGGATTTGACTTTGACTACTTGCGATTAAATATTTTGCTTATATATCTTATGTTAAATAGGAGATCAGAAGAAAATTGTTCAACATTTGAATGTTCATGCAAAAATTTAATATGTAGAATTTCAGTGGATTTCTTCGATGAGCGCGTGACAACATCGCTTACAGCTCTCTATTGCCTTCCAATTTGGAACCGAACCATAGTAATTTTTCGCGATGACAATACTCCCTCGCCAGTTTGGCATAGGAAGTGAAATGTATGCAAAAGCTAGCTCTTATATACAGTCATGAGAATGGCAATTGCAAAATAAGGACTGAATCCACCCCTGCCCGTTGAAGTCCCCTTAGGTCTCGACTGGGGTGGCACCGAATTACACAACGCGTGGATCAGCCGTACGGGGAACAAAAACGCCCTGGTTCCAATGGTTGAGGGTAGGGGGTGAAACAGAGGGTGGCGGGGGTGAAAAACGCCACAGTCGAGGAAAAATATTGTATATGGAGACGCTGACGAGGACGACGCCATTTCGGTTTTTGTCATGGCTCAACAGACACACGCCGCCACCATGTACAGGCAGCGATAAGCCAAGGGGAGCTTAATGGACGAGTAGGAGGATACGTGCCAAGGGTGATTGCAGAAGTCGACTGAAGTCTTTGCATTTTATATTATGGAAGAGAATATGAAATTTTACTTACACTAAAGATTAATGAAGAACAAGTTATGTCTCTGCGATAACGTGAATTTGATATACCTAGTTTCATAATGGAGGATAATATGGAATTTTATGTACCGTAATCGTAGTTTGCACCACGTTAAGGAGTTTTTTTCATATAATTATTTAGTAAGCAAGGATTTTGTGAAATTATTTTCAAGAATGGTTTTAATACATTCATATCAGTTCAGGGCACAGATATATGCAAAGAAAATATTCTTATTAGCTATATTTGATATTTTACTGATTTTTAAAAGTGGTGCAAAGTATACCATACAGGCGGGTTATTTTGCACCACCTGAAAAATAATCCTGTTACATACGAGAAAATAGGTTGGTGCAAAGATATCATCATCTAAAATCATTGTGGCACTTTCTACAACCATGAGAAGCTGAAAAAAAATATTTGTTTCACCTGAAAAATAATATCAACACAAATATGGTAAAGAAGTTGTATTTTATATCCATAGAATTGGAAATGACAAAAGAAAAATGTCACTCAGGATGAATAAAAAACGAAAGAAAAAAATAATGTCTATATTACAGCAGTATATCTATGTTGCTAGGTATTTAACTCTTCTACTGAGAAAATTCCTCTTTTGCATACATTTTTGGGGGATTTATGCTGCCAATAATTTGATCCCATGTATAGAAGAGCACATCTTTATTTGCGGGCCACTTCCAATTCTTGAGTGACTTAACCATGGCACTCACGTATGCTCCATCCTCATCCGATTGTTCAATGATGCCTGGGTAGTATTTGTTATCATACTGGACGACTACAAACGAATCAATCTGCTTTGTGATAGGTTTGAGTTGTGCCCAAAAAGGAATCTCAACTTCATAGTGTGCACACTCAGTTACCCCTTCCATAGTTTTTTTCTATATGTCTCCCAGTCATCATCATCTGAGGTATCCTGCAGAACAGGCTCTGTATCATCTTCTGACTCATCATCCTCAGAATCATGATGAGATCTGTTTTTTTTCTGTTTTCTTTCAGGTTTTGATCATTCTTGGTCTCGTACCACTGGAGCCCGGTTGGATGTTTTCCTTGTCAGATTTTTGTTTGCGTTCAGTAGGCTGTGGTTGATTGTCGTCCCCAGTTGACCCGTTTAACAGCATTTTATCATGGGACAGACTTTTTCCCGCTGGCAAAGAAATTTTCTTCTTTCTCGTAATTTTCGGCTTCATACTACATGCATCTCGAGTGGACTGTAAGACATCCAAGAAAGCAGAACAGACAGCTGAAGGCGCTACCTGTTTATGGACTATTCTGTCGAGTAATGGTTGTACATCACATGGATGAATGCCGCATTTTTTAAATCCACTTTCCCGATTTTTCTTGAAGTTTGGCTCTAGGATATCATGCACACGCTTAAGTAAAGACGGAAAGCACTGTTTTGGTTAAACAGTACAGTTCATGCCCTCAGGAGTTGCTTTCCACTCAATTAATCTTTTCTCCACGCCACTTTCAGCGAGCGAAAAAATGCAACGTCCAACGGTTGCGTGAGATGAGTACTGTAAGGCGGCAAGCAGATGAAATGAATATCAACTTCCTTACACTTCTTAAAAATAGCTACATTGAGGTGAGTTGACAGATTGTCACCTATGACCACTTTTTTCCCGCCAGTTTCTTCAATCTTGGCAGCAAAAGACTTTCGAACCACTCGTTGAATGCAACTCCATCGAACCAACCAGATTTGGTACTCAGATAGCGACAATGC